GACCTCAACTGTCAGAACTGTGTGTAAACTTGTACAACTTATTTAACTTCTGTTTTACATTTAGAGAGAAAGCCTCAGTTTCCTTGTTTGTAAATTTCTTTCATCAGTTTGGGAAATTTCATCTCTTCAAATATTGCTTCTACTCAGACTTTCCCTTCACTCCTTCAGAGAATCCAATTTAACATTTTGGACCTTCCCACTGTATGTTCTATGTCATTATCTTCTCCTCTGTATTTTCCATCCTTTAGTCTTTCCTTGCTTTGTGCTAATTTCTTCTGGTCTATCTTCTGGTGTGCTAATTCTCTCTTCAGCTGCGCCTTAACTGCAATTAAACCTTGAGTTCTTAATATTGGACAATATTTTTCAATTCTAGAACTGCTAGTTGGTTCTTTTTAAACTAAGTAGTATTACTTTTTGTAATTTCCAGCTACTTACTTAAAGGTTTAAGAGCAGCTTTTAACTTCACGAGCATGGTAAGCATTGATACTTGAAAGTCCATGTCCTGTAATTACATGCTGACTTGTAATTATTTCTGAAGTACCTGTGGGTTTGTTTCTGATGTCCATTGTTCATGTAGGTCCTTGATCATGTTACCTTATCTCCTCATGTGTCTGTTTATATTTTGTATACTATATTTCAAATTTGCACATTTATTTGTAGAAATATTTTCAAGTATACAACGATACTGTCCTTCTCCAAAGAGGATTTTCCTTTGCTTTTGTCAGATATCAGCACCTCTAGTGATCCAGGGTCACCTTGATTCAAAGTTGGGGATTAAAATTTCCTGGGCAATCTAAATAACTTGACTCCGGGTTATAGTCTGTATAACCAGTTTGGGCTGGTTCCCTTCCATTTCACTAATATTTCTTCAGTGTGGCTTTTTGGGTCCCAACCTTAAGTGTGGAATGGTTTACCAGGCCTCCACCCATAATGAATGATGAACTTAAATTTCTGTCTCCTGTCAGCTTCAGGCTGTCAAAAGACCTGCTCAGGCTTTCAGCCATGCCCTCTGAATCAACCAACACTCCCTAGGTAAAAGCAGCTTCAAGGCTGGGCATGCCCCTCCAGATGTGTCTTCTCAGACCCTGGCCCATGTACTTATCACAGTCTTGTTAGCTCTTTGCAACTTTTATGAAGATTTAATAATTATTTTGTCCACCTATGTTTTTCATTCACCCCCAGTAAAAGGCTTGGTCCAAGTTGTCTGGTTAGCCATATCAGAAATATCTCTAAAGCTTTTAAAAGAATGTGGGTTCTATATGCCCTTGTCATGATCACTTTATTCTGACCAAAGTCAGGGTTGGCCATGAGCTTAAGAGTGTGGCATTCATTAGGTTGAATTAACATTGATTTGAATGAAATTTAGCTTACATTCATTGAGCATAGCAAGTATGACCTAGGAACATACACCATGCTGAATGCATGTGTGAGAATATGTTTATTTTCCTTTCAAAAAACCAATTATCCATGTAGGACCCTGGCTAAGGGTGTGAGTCTAAGAGTCCAATGGCCAGGACCTACCATCTATAAACTGTGTCCTAGTTACTCATTTTCTCTGTGCCTCAGTTTCCTCATTTGTAAAATGATGATTATAATAGAATGTCTTGATTGAACTGCTGTATGGATTGAGTGATATTATGCAAAACAGTGTTCTTGATTCTGGCAATGGTAAGAATTCATAATCGTTAATAATTCTATTTATCATCACCTGCCATTTGCTGGGCACTCTGCTAGGCCCCACAAATGCAAAGGTGGTAAGAAGAGACTCTGTGGTCTTGTCCATGAGAAGGGCAATCACATGACCAGTGCCTGCAAAGGGGCAGCAGCAAGGGAGGGGCACGTCTTCTGGGGCCTGGAAGACCCCTAGGTTCAGTGGTTCACTAGGACAGCTCATGGACTCAGCCTATAGTTGTACCCATGGCTGAGACTTATTGCAGTGAAAGGATTCAAAGCAAAATTAGCAACGGGGGAAGCTACAAAGGGTAAAATCCAGAGGAAACCAGGCACAAGCTTCCAGAATCCTCTCCCCGTGGAGCCACAGAGGATGCACTTCATTCACATGCGTTCCGATAGCATGTGTGAAATGTTGTCTACCAGGGATGCTATCCTGAGCTTAGAGTCCAGAGTCTCCATTGGGATCAGTCACACAGGCACACCCACTTCCTGACATGTGCCAAGATTCCAGACTCCAGGAAGGAAAGCAGATGTTCAGCTAAGCCACGGGGCACCTAATCAGACCCTGTGGTCAGGGGCCTTATCAGAAAAGGAGGCCTCGAATTTAATTTTGGAACATGGTGAAGAGTTCCTGGGTAGAGAGGGGACATGGTTGTTCTAACTGTGTTGGTGCATGGTGTGTTCAGGGTCGGCAGGCAGGTGCTTGGCTGGGGAGGATATGAGATGCGGGTCCATACCCTAGTGCAACAAAGCCGCCATCTCAGGGGCTGTGCTCACGGGGGATGACAGGTAAACTGTGGCTTAGATACTCTGCTGGGCTAACCAAACAGCTGGTGGGAGCCCAGGGTCAGAAATCCCATGTTAGTCTGAGTGGTCCAGAGAAGGCTCCAGAGAAGGGATTATTTTGGAGGGATTGCAGGGTGAGGAGTCCATTCTAGGTGTGAAAGTGACGAGATGGAGAAGGGTAGTGGCTTTAAAAAGCTTCTGGGCCATGCACAGTTGCCTATACCTATAATCCCAGCTCATTGGGAGGTCAAGGCAGGCAAAGCCCTTGAGCTTAGGAGTTTAAGAGCAGCCTCCGCAACATGGTAAAACCCTGTGTCTACAAAAAATATAAAAAATTAGCCGGGCATAGTGGCATACACTCCTATAGTCCCAGCTATTTGGGAGGCTGAGATGAGAGGATCACCTGAGCCCAGGAAGTCGAGGGTGTGATCACTCCCCTGAACTCTAGCCCGGGCGACAGAGAGAGATCCTGTCTCAAAACAAAACAATAAGCATCTGCCTAATGAAACATGCGATGAGGTGCCATTTATGGGTGAATTAACACACACACCAAAAGCCACCTTTATGAACGTGATATGCGGGGAAAATATAGACATGTAAACTGGAGAGAGGGGCACTGACTTCTTGGGGGTGGCTGTGTGAGGCTGAGAGGGAGGGAAAGAATTGCAGGAAGCCGTGAAGAATTCCAGCTTAACCTATAAGGTTCCATGTTTTTCTGTCTGTTTGTTTGTTTTTGATATAGAGTCTCTCTGTGTTGCCCAAGTTGGGGTGCAGTGACGTGATCTCGGCTCACTGCAAACTCTGCCTCCCAGGTTCAAGTGATTCTCCTGCCTCAGCCTCCTAAGTAGCTGGGATTACAGACATGCGCCACAACTAATTTCTGTATTTGTTAGTAGAGTCAGGATTTCACCATGTTTTGTTGGCCAGGCTCCCGACCTCATGTGATCCTCCCAAAGTGCTGGGATTGCAGGCATGAGCCACCACATTCAGCTACCTGTAAGGTTCCATGTTTTAAATAAAAACAAAAAAAAAGATGCAAGTATCGGATCCATAGGTGGTTCATATTATTATCTATGGTGTGGGTTTGTTTTTTGTAGTTTTTAGGAAGGTATTGGGGCGGGGGAGGTGGGATAAAGGCAACACAATGAGACGGCTGGGGCCCCCTCTGAGCTGCCTGGAAGCCTTGCTGGGTGATCCTGAGTGTGAGGGGAACAGAGGTCTTCCACAGATCTGAGGTTTACAAAAATAACTCACCTAAGTATGGAGGGTGGAAGGGAAGACAGAGAGACCAGTGGGGATTGTGAAAATAATCTGGACAGTGACCCAGAGGAGGCCCAAATGGTGGTTTCAAGGCGATGCCAGAGATGAAGTGCTCACTGAGGAAGGAGAGCAGGTGTGAGGCTTGGCTGAGTGGGGCTGACGGCTCTAAGGTGGCGGGTGTATCCCAAGACTATGCGTGTGTGTGTGTGTGGGGGGGAGTGTGTCTATGTGCGCAAGTATATATGAGGGTATTGTAATTCATGTGTGTATGTGTGCACTTTATGCATGGAAATGTGTGGGAGTGTGTGCATGGGTTGAAGGTGTATGCAGGTATGCTTGTGTTCATGTGGATGTGCATGTCTGTGTGCATGTGTGTATATGTGCATGTGTGTATATGTGCATGTCTGTGTGCATGTGTGTATGCATGCATGTATATGTCCATGTCTGTTTGCATGTGTGTGCAGGTGTGCATGTGTTCATGTGGATGTGCATGTCTGTGTGCATGTGTGTATATGTGCATGTATGTGAAGGTATGCATGTGTTCATGTGGATGTGCATGTCTGTGTGCATGTGTATATGTGCATGTGTGTATATGTGCATATATGTGAAGGTATGCATGTGTTCATGTGGATGTGCATGTCTGTGTGCATGTGTATATGTGCATGTGTGTATATGTGCATGTCCGTGTGCATGCACGTATGTCTGCATGTGAGTATGTGTGCATGTGTGTGAAGGTGTGCATGTGTTCATGTGGATGTGCATGTCTATGTGCATGTGTGTATATGTGCATGTGTGTATATGTGCATATATGTGAAGGTATGCATGTGTTCATGTGGATGTGCATGTCTGTGTGCATGTGTATATGTGCATGTGTGTATATGTGCATGTCCGTGTGCATGCACGTATGTCTGCATGTGTGTATGTGTGCATGTGTGTGAAGGTGTGCATGTGTTCATGTGGATGTGCATGTCTATGTGCATGTGTGTATATGTACATGTGTGTATATGTGCATGTGTGTATGTGCATGTGTCTGCATGCATATGTGTATGAATGCATGTGCATGTGTCTGTGTGTACAAGTGAGTGTGCATGTGGGGGGTGTACTTGTATGTGTGTATATGTGTGCCTATGCATGCTTGCATACATGTGACTTCAGAGTTTCCTGTCTGTGGATCTCCTTGTGTCTTGTGGGAGGCTTGTGGAGGAGAGGCAGAGAGCAGCTGAGGCCCCACACAGGGTCCTGCCATGACCTATAACCCCAGCTGTGGTTCTTGGCTTCAGGAGCTGTACTGCAGCACTATGGACACTTTCCAGAAGTTTGTGGACACCCTGTTCCTTCAGACACTCCCTGGCGTGACTGGCCTCCCCCCGGAAGAGTGTGACTACTTGAGGCAGGAAGTCCAGGAGAACGCTGCCTGGCAGCTGGGGAAATCGGATCACTTCCGGAGGCAGCAGTGGAAACTCTTCCAGGAGCTCCTAGAGCAAGACCGGCAGGTGCGGGCATTTGGGAACCCAGGGGCTGGGGTCTGCATTTTAGAAACGCGTGAAGAAGAGTGACAGCTCTCACATCCTGAGCACCCACTAGTGCCTGTTGCAGCTGCTCTACAGAGGTGACTGTTGCCTCCCTTTCACAGTGGCCCACCACGGGGGTGGGATGAGAGAGGAGAGCCCTCATCTCCCTCAACAGGAAGTCGGAGATCATACCTTAAGTTGATCAGTCAAGAGAGAGCAGCAAAGCATGTTCTTTAGAATGAGAGGAATAGGTAGCCAACCAAATGGCAGAAAGGAAAGAGGTTCGCAGGGAGTGGGCTCTGTGGGAGTGGGGGAGCTGCATGCACAGGACTCCTGTCTTTCAGTGAGAGTCTGATTACTAAGACCACAGATATATGCTGAGACAGAATCATGACCCCCCCAAATATATCTACAGTGTGTTCCCTTACACGGCAAAAGGCACTTTGCAGGTGGGGTTGAGTGAAGGATTTTGAGGTCGGGATGATTCTGGGTTATCCCAGGGAGCCCAGCGTAATTGCATGAGTTCTTACAGGAGGCAGGCAGAGGGGTGGGAGTCAGAGAAGGAGATTTGATGGTCTAAACGGAGGTCGGAATGGTGTGGCTGTGAGCCTAGGAAGTCTGGCTGGCTCGAGAAGATGGGAAGGTCAAGGAGTACATTCTCCCCATAGCCTCCAAAAAAGAACACAGCCCTGCTGACACCTTGATTTTAGCCTGTGAAGACCCATTTTAGCCTTCTGGCCTCAGAACTGTAAGATAATAGATTTGTATTGTTTTCAGCCATAGCTGTGGCAATGTGTAACAGCAGCAATAGGAAACTAATACAAAACACGCTGATTTTTTTGTTTTTGTTTTTTGGGTTTTTATTTTTTTTATTTTTACTTTTTGAGATGGAGTCTCACTCTGTTGCCCAGGCTGGAGTGCAACTGGTACAATCTCAGCTCACCACAACCTTTGCCTCCCAGGTTCAAGCGATTCTTCTGCCTCAGCCACCCTATTACGGGTGCGGGCCACTACACCTGGCTAATTTTTGTATTTTTAGTGGAGAAGGGGTTTCACAACCATGTTGGCCAGGCTGATTTCAAACTCCTGAACTCAAGTGATCCACCCACCTCAGCCTCCCAAAGTGCTAGGATTACAGGCGTGAGCCACTGTGCCCATCCCACACAGATTTTATCTTTAAAAAATTAAACTGTTAAATAAAAGAAGGCATTTCCAAATTCAGCATCCCCCAAGAATGCCTACATGTCCTGTCTCCCATGCCTTCTGCCCTCTAAAAGCTGTGAAACTAACGTTCTTACTCTCCATATTCCTTACAACTAGCCATGGCTGAGTGACACTGCTCTGGCCTTTGAGACAAGGCAAAGGGCTTCTCTTTCCTGATACAAAAGCCGGTTTTGCTTGGAGTAGCCCACTTCTTCATTGTCCCATTCTTCCTTCCTAGAACACACGGGAGGCCCGGAGGTGCATCAGGCTTTCTCTGCCTTTGAGGCAGCCTGTGTGAGCCTGGTGGGCTCCAGATGGTGGAGTGGCAAGGACAGCCCGAGCCCCTGGCGGTGCTGTTAAGCCATTGCTGCAGCCCTGAACCGCCCACCCCGAGGTGCTTGTTGTAAGAAACAAACCCTGTTTCTTTAAGTTGGGTTTGCAGTTAGTTACAAAAGACCAATCTGACTGAAGCACCTAAAAGAGTTTTCCTGAAACAATTCCTTGGAGCAATAGAAAGTACAAAACAGATAGAGGAAAGCATTATGCAAACACATGACCACTCACAGCTGTGGGGACAGGCACAGGGCCTAGTTACCTGCCAGAATGAATTCTTAGACCTCCTTCTAGTTCATTCAGTCCTCTGTCCGTGGCATCCAGTTGCCCTGTTGTAGGTGACTTGCCCATCTCCTGCCTTTGGCCATGAATTCCTTGAGGACAGCAACCCTGATTTTCATCTTTACGCCGCCTGTTCAAAGCCCGGTGGCTGCAATATGGTAAATGCTCAGGAAAACTAGTTCCATGTCCAGCAACAATAGTGCAGCTTTGGAAATGATTACAGCGTTGCCTTTGCCCTGTATTCTTCCAAGGGATCTAAATGAAGCTGAATTCATCCAATTCATTCCAAATACTGGGCCGCAGACCAATTCATTTACAGTCCCTGGGGAGGGAGGAGGGTCCTCCCTGGGTCTGAGTCCCTGGGTCTCAGTGTCTTAGAAACCAGGTGAGCCTAATGGGCCTCTGAAGTGGACCCACTAAATGAATGTAGGGGCCTTTTAAAGACCATTGTGGTTTTGCAGCCAGGCCCCTAACCTCAGAAGTCCAAGACATGGGTTTGAGCCAGAGCAGACACATTAATGGGCTGTGTGACTTTAGCCAGTGAGCTGACCTCTTGCAATTCTGTGACTTGACACAACTTGCTAAAAATGCCTCAGAACTCCAGCTTCTGTGTGAAAACTAAGGGTCACAACACCCAAGTGATTGCTGTGAGATAATGCAAGTTAAGACCTTTTGCACAATATCCTTCAAATCATTTAATGCTATTGACAGTGAAGGAATCAAGAATTTCACTTCCGATAAAACACCTGTGATTCATCTAAAACTCTCTGGTTATGAGTCTCAAGTTATGTTAGGCAAATAGTAGACTATCCACAGCTCTGTTTTTTATATTTTACTTGTTTACTTTGTGAGCATATGATTGTGAATTTTTCTTGGCATGCGGGGAAGGTTGGGTTTCTGGTTGAGTTTTGCATGCAGGAAGCAGCAGAAGATGACCTCATCAACTGATTATATACGTATGACCCAAGACTGTTTTCTCCAGGTGTATATGTCATAGTTAATTTATTGATTACTTAATTGCCTTAAATTAACACACGATAGTTAGAGATCCACTTGCCATGTTTCCCTATCGATGAAAAAAATGAGAAATGAACTCTCTGCAGTTCAGATGAATATTAATCATGAGAAGAAAAGCACCAACAAAGCTATTCATGGAAAATCAAAAACACATCGACTACAAATTGCCTTTCCCACATTGTTTTCTATCCAAAAAGGCCTTGGTAGTTTCATATCCCATTGCTCAGGGAAGTTGTTAAAAATTACGGACTTGGTGAATTACGCTGTTGAAACAGATTGTAGAATGCTGTTTCTCAAAATTTAATCTGCTCTAATGCAGACTTCTGGGCTTCTCCCAGTGCCCTTGCAGTAGGCAGCCATAATGGCCCCCAGGAGGCCTACATCCTAATCCCTAAAACTCATGACTATGTCTGGTCACAAGGCAAAAAGGACGTTACCAATGTGACCGTGAGATGGGGATATTCTCCCCATGATCCGGCTGGGCCCCATGTCATCACAAGGGTCATTATAAGTGAAAAAGGAGCCTCAGTGTCAGAGTAAGGCAGTGAGGAAGACTCTGCAGCCCTTGCTGGACTCGAAGATGGAGGAAGGGGCTGTGAGCCCAGGAATGCAAGTGCCCTCTAGGAACTGGAAAAGGCAAGGAAATGGACCCTGCCCCAGACCCTCAGGGAGGGGTGCAGAGCTGCCGACGCACATTTCAGGCGTCTGATCTCCAGCAGTGTAGGGTAATAAGCGTTGTTTTCAGCCACCAAATGTGTGATAAGTTGTTACAGCAGCCGCAGGACACTAACACACCAGTGGGTAGTCGTGGGGCAGGGAATGTGGCAGTTGGTACACTCTTGAGCATGACAGTGAAGAACGCCAAGGCTCGAGGCAGTCTGTCTGAGTTTGAATCCTGGCTCCCCACCTCACTCTGCACCCCACTGCAGGCTGTTTCCATCATTTCATCACTGAGTCTTGCACTCATCACCAAGTGCCGAGCTCTCTGGCCTCCTTTTACTGGACTCGGGGGTGGTGTTTGGCCACGTTGGTCTCTTCCCTCCTCCTTGAAACACCCGTTTGATTCTCTTGCTTCTCCTCCCACCTCACTGGTTTCTGCTTCTCAGTCTCTTTCTGGTCCCTTCCCAGCTCCTTATTTTCTGAGCACTGAAGAGCCCTGGGGTGCAGTCTGTAGCCCTCTTCCTTATCTACATGCACTGCCTCAGTGATCCCATCCAGTCACACACCATCTGTATTCATTTTCTAATGCTGCGTAACAAGTAACCAGGGGCTTAAAACAACATGCACTTATTATCTCGCAATGTCTGTGGGTCAGAAGTCCAGGCAAGGTTTAACCAAGTCTTTTGTTCAGGGCCTCTCACAAGTCTGCAGCCAATCCCTGGGCTGGGGCTGGGGTCTCATCTGAAGGTGTGACTGGAGAAGAGTCACTTCTGTGCTCACTCACATTGCTCTTGTCAGGTTTTAGTGCCTCAAGCGTCATTAGACTGAGAGCCAGCAGCTTCCAAATTTACACCCTCAGCTCAGGGTCGTTCCTGAACTCAGCTCTACACGAAGTCTCCATTTAGATGACTGCTAGACATGAGAAATTGGTGTGTAAAAAATAGCTGTTGCTCTTCCTGCCAACCTGCCTTACCCTATAGCCTTCCTCCACTTTTCTACTAAATTGGGGCAAAAACCTTGGGGTCATCCTTGACTCCTCTTTCTTTCACACCCTACATTGGTTGACAAGAAATCCTATTAGTTTTGCCTTCAGTCTAATCCTGAGTGTCTAACCGCTCCTCAGTACCTCCCCTCTTGGCACCCTGGTCAAAGCCACCGTGCCTCTTGCCTGGGTTACTGCAAAGAACAGCTGACCAGCTGCTCTGCCTCCATTCTCAACATCCAGCCAGAGTGATACTTTTAAGATAAGATTGTCCGACCTACAGGCTGCATGCATTCCAGATGGCTTGGAATGCAGCCCAAGACAAACTTGTAAACTTTCTTAAAACATCATGAGATTTTTGGGGGGATTTTTTTTAGCTCACGAGCTGTCATTCGTGTTCGTGCCTTCTATGTGTGGCCCAAGTCAGTTCTTCTTCTTCCAGTGTGGCCCAGGGAAGTCCAAAGATTGGACACCCCTGTTTTAAGACATCCTATTTGCCACTAATCTTTACGATACACATTTAAAAATATTTTAACATCCCTGAAATCAAGATGCATTTTAATTTAATTGGCAGTGACTTTTCTTTCTTAGTGATACCGAAAATAATTGGGCATCTTACAGTCACAGCACAGTAGATGTGATAGGGAACACCGAGTCACATCGTGCTGCTTCTCTGTGCAGAACCCCCAGCGGCTTCTCATTTCACACAGCATAAAGCCAGAGTCCTCACCACACTCTGCAAAGCCCGCCACCTCAGGCCCTGGCTGCCCTCTGACGCCACCTGCATGCTCCACCAGGCCCCGCTGGTTCCTTGTACTCCTCTGGCTTTCTGGGCGTGCTCCGGCCTCACTCTGCCCTGCTCTGGGCCCTGGCTCCCTTGTCACTTTCACAGCGAGGCCTACTCTGACCATGCTGTTTAAAACTGCAATCTCCACTTGCCCCCAGCACCCCAGTATTTGCCTCAGGAGTTGATTTTAGAGCCACCCCACCTAAAAACCCTCCCTGTTTCCAGGAGGACACTACCAAACTTTCAGCACATACTAGGCATCCATTAGTAGCTCTTCCCTTTCTCCCCATAACACACCAAAGTTTGAGACAAAGAGTAAAACTTAGCTAAGGCCACTGAATGACCTGGTAGCGACGACCCGCACTCTCGCGCGAGGAAGCATCTCTTCTGAATGTGAGCATTTACAAGCCTGCATGTGATCGTGCTGAAGAGGTTTGTGTGACTTCTGCAGGCAGCGTCTGGTCCAGGTCTTGGCCTTATCAATCATCGTGAAATCCTGTTGCTAATTTTAGCTGCATTCTCAAAACACCCAGTAAAGACCGCTATATACTTTAGTGACAATGCAAACTCACCTTTCAAAAGATGAAGACTGGCCGGGCATGGTGGCTCACTCCTGTAATCCCAATACTTTGGGTGGCCAAGGACGGTAGATCACCTGAGGTCGAGAGTTTGAGACCAGCCTGGCCAACATGGTGAAATGCTACGCCAGGCGGTTTCCATCATTTCGTCATTTTTTGTAAAAATACAAAAATTAGCCAGGTGTGGTGGCATGTGCCTGTAATCCTAGCTACTTGGAAGGCTGAGGCAGGAGAATCGCTTGAACCTGGAAGGCAGAGGTTGCAGTGAGCTGAGATCGCACCACCTTACTCCAGCCTGGGCAACAGAGTGAGACTCCAATCTCAAAAAATAAAAATAAATAAAAAATAAAAAAAGACTCTGCAGAATTTTCTAGAATGTTCTGGTAGCACTCTGACAGATTATTGTAAACTCCTCACAAGACGGGTCAGAGATGGGATTTAATGAACTGTTCCAGTAGCGCAGTGCAGTTTTGTGAGAGTTAAGTGCAAGTGTTATGAATCACAGCATCCACCAGAACTGAAGTCTAGGCTGCAGGTACTTGCATCCAGGCCTGTGTTTTATCTGCATTCCAAATGCAGCGTGCACCATCTCCAGGCTGCCAGAGGTACAGCCTTTTAAAAAGCCATGGAAAAGGGAAGAAGCCTCTCTCACCTTAAGGATGGAGTCCTTGGTTTTATCATCATCATGCTGAGTTAGGTGCATCTCCTGGTGATGTAGGATCGTCAGGGAGGAGCATGGTGGATTTAGAAAATATGTGCGCCTTAGAGACATAAAGACGTAAATTTCAGTTCCTGCCCCACTGTTTATTAGCTGTGTGACAGCCGCCTCAGCCTCCCTGAGTGCTGAGATTACAGGCGTGAGCCACCACGCCTGGCCTCATTACTATAGTTTTCATTCATGCGGTATAGTTTCTCAGTGTCTTGTCTTGTTTCACAGTGTCTTGTTTTAAGGGCTATTAATCCCCTCTGTTTTCAAAAGAACACACATTATAAGCACATTCTAATGTGTAATCTCAGCAATTTGGGAGGCCGAGGCGGGTGGATCACCTGTGGTCAGGAGTTCAAGACCAGCCTGTCCAACATGGTGAAACTCTGTCTCTACTAAAAATACAAAAAATTAAAGGAGAACAGAGGGAGTGATGGAAACAAGAAAGAATACTGGGCAAAGGAACAGTGATAATTCAAACAATGAAGAGTTTAGAAAACAGCACAGAACCAAAATAATGGAGATCAGTATCCGAGAAGGCAGAGAGAACCCTGGAATCATGTTTCTCCTAGTGTGGAGGAGGGCAGAAGTATTAACTTTGTATTTACAAGTTAAATATGCAACTTAAAAACTGAAAAGTAACCACGTGGGAGGGAAAGGAGCAGCCCCTCCCGTCCAGGAGCTACTCACAGCTGGACCTGGGTGTTTGCTGATTGAACAACCAACCACCGAGCATCAACCCTGGATGAGGCCCCTCTGTTACATGAAAGACGGAACCAAAAATGACAGCACCCTGCAACCACATCTGAACACAGACCAAATGAACGTTGTCCAACTCCCTGCCCCTGAAATGCCCAGACACCGCGTCCTGGCTGAGCCAAGCCTGGCTTCACTAAACCCCCCCAAATCACCTCCCACAGCCCACACCTGGGCCTTTCTCGCCCCTCTACACGTTCTCCCTTGCCGTACCAGGTGATAAACCAATCTGTTCAGCCACAGGGGAGCTCTGCTGGTCTTTGCAGTGCATTGACTGAGCAAAATAACTAAACAGAATATATGACTTCCAAGGTAGAGAAAAAAATGTTCCAGAATACAGCTTAGAGATCTAAAGAATGATGAATACAGTTGTTGGAAATAGATGCTCGGTGCTACCAAGAAAAATTAGCATTGAGACAAGAGATCTTTTAGCAACGCAATTTTTACTTCCTGGACTGCAGGAAAGGGACTCTCACTAGCCATCATGCCATGAGGGTACAATAAGCAAAGGAAAACATGCAAATTTATCCCTTATGCATTTGGGGTTGTCCTTACTGCTGTGTGTGATCTCCGTTGACTGGAGCCAGACCTCACAATCTAAACTAAAACCCGATTGGCTAACAACTTAAAACTTTTCTAAACAGGTAAAAGCAGCGGAGAGCTGGGACATGCCTACGAGCACGTCTAGCACAGATATCTTGGTTAAAGTACAAGGACATAGAATGTACTACATGCCTGTAAGCATGGCATGTCTAACAGCTACATAGGGCTTCACAAAGTTATTAGCACACTTATTCTTTAACAAGAAAAGAAACCTTAAAAAGGAACTTTTCTACTTTCTACACGAATAAAAGATAAAAACAAGTTGGGAACAATGCACATTTCATAATATCTACAAAACACAAGATTAGACGGTGGGAATAGGTCCAAGCATACCATTAGTCACAGTGAAAACGAGCAGATCCATTTAAATTGCTAAAAAACACATTTCCTAATCTAGCTGTGTGGCATGACAGGAGACACAGCTAGATCATCAAAAATTAGAAAGTCAAGGAAAGGAAAACAATATCTCAGGCAAATATCAACCAAAAGAAACTGCATGATACTAAGATCTGACAAACTATACATTAGGTAGAAAACTTTTTGGGGGGATAAAGAGAATCATTACATCATATAAGAGGAACATACAATTTACCCACAAAATACATAAACCAAAATTTGACAGACTTGAAAAAAAAGATGAACAGTTGATGCCATTATGGAAGATTTTAATATCCCATCTCACAGAAGGTGACAGACTGACCAGATGGTAAGTCAGGCCATGGAAGATCTGTCCTGAACAACACAATCAGCAAGAGTGAGCGGATGCTCCTCCATCGAATTTTGTGCACCATATTTGTGGATAATTCGAATGTCTCTATTGAAAAGCCAAAAGAGCCTACAGACAAACTGTCACAACTATGGAGATTGCTCTGAAATGTCACCACATACAAAATCAGTCCCAAACCAGGAGATTTCCTCTATACCAGCAACACCCAGTGATAAAGAAAGATCATCTTTAGAATAAAAGCCACAAGATGCCTAGGTTGACGAACATGTATAAGAGCTTAAGGGAGATGTTTATAAAATGTTATTGAAGGCGTATAGAAAAATGAGAGCAATGGCATGTTTGGGGGTGGAAAGCTCAATTTTGCAAACATGGTGATTCTCTCCAAATTGATCTGTAAAATCAACCCAATTATGAGAAAATTCTAGAGTCTTTTTTCCCCTAAACTTGACCAGCTGATCCTAAAAGTCATATGAAAGGAAAAGCAACCAAAAACAGCTAAGGCAGCTTTGAACAAGAGGATAAGGGAGGATATGCCCTTGCTGCACGGACATTTGATTGCTACAACATTAGCAAGCATGGTGTTGGTGCAGAAATAGACAGACCAATAGAACGAAATAGAGAACCTGGGACAAGATGTATGTGTATATGTTAATTATACAAGACAAGTTGGCATTGGAGGAAAGCCTGAAAAAAATAAATTATTTAATAAACAGGGTTGGGACAATTAATTATCCATTTATCCAGAGAAAATTAGACTCCTTCCTCACTACACAGAAAACAAATTTTAGATACTTTAAAATTTTCCTATTTGCATTTTTCCTAAATTTTCCTATTTGCATTTAAAATTAAAAATTTTCCTATTTGCATTTTTCCTAAATGCAAATAGGAGAGATGTTATGCTTTTAGAAGAAAATACGGGAGAAAATATTGATGAAATCGAGGCTGAAAGGGATAAAAACAAAACAAAAAACAAGTAACCACCTACCCGCTCTGTCCCTCTGCCCCGGATTCAGGTGTGGATGGAGGAGTGTGCGCTGTCCAGCGTGCTGCAGACGCACCTGCGGGAGGACCACGAGGGCACCATCCGTGGCGTCTTGGGCCGACTGGGCGGCCTCACTGAAGAGTGAGTACAGCTCTCTGAAGGCCTGGGGCTTGCGTCCTGCGTGATGCTCCGTCCAGCCTCAGCATCCTCATCTGAACAGAGGGCACACTGACTGCCCCTCACCTTCCTTTGGATGTAAATGACTTAAAGTTTCTTAGCCTCGATTTCCTCATCTATAAAATGGGCTAATGATACCTACTTCATAGACTTGTCTGTCATAGGAACTTTTTTAAACAGCTTTTTTCAGATATAGTTTACATACATTTATTTTATGAGTATAATTCAATGATTTTTAGTAAATTTACTGAGTTCTACCCCTATCACCGCGACCCAAATTTAGAATATTTCTATTACCCCCAAAATTGCTATGTGATCACAATTGTAAAAAGATCTCTTGTGCACAATTGCAGCCACTCCCCAATTTATTATCAGTTTTTATATTCATTTTTCACTATAACTATTAGTGCAATATGGTCTTTTCAATTTGCTAGAAAGTAATTTTTCCTTCTTTCTTATAAAAAAATACACACACACATACATATATATGTATTTTTTTTGAGATAGAGTCTCACTCTGTCACCTGGACAGGATTGCAGCGGCATAATCTTGGCTCACTACAACCTCCCTCTGCTTCCAGTGTTCAAGCGATTCTCCTGCTTCAGCCTATCAAGTAGCTGGGATTACAGGTGTGAGCCACCATGCCCAGCTGAGAAAAAATATCTGGATATAGCTATTTTTTAGTTTTATTTTTCAATTTTTATTTTAGATTCAGAGGGCATATGTGCAGGCTTGTTACAAAGGTGTATTGCATGATGCTGAAGATTGGGGTGCAGGTCCCATCACCCAGGTAGTGGGCACAGCACCCATAGGTCATTTCTGAACCCTTGCCCCCCTCTTGTAGTCCCCAGTGTCTGTTATTCCCATCCTTACTTCTGTATGTGCCTCATGTTTTGCTCCTACCTGTGAGAACATGCAGTATTTGGTTTTTTGTGTCTTCATTAGTTTCCTTAGGATAATGGCCTCTGGCTGCATCCATGTTACTGCAAATAACATGATTTCATTCTTTTTATGACTGCATAGTATTCCATGGTGTATATGTACCACATTTTCTTTATCCACTCCACCACTGATGAGCACCTAGATTGATTTCATGTCTTTGCTTTCGTAAATAATGCTGCAGTGAACATATAAGTACATGTGTCTTATTGGTAGAATTTATTTTCAATTTCTTTTCCTCTGAGTATTGATATAACTAATTTTTTTAGTTGTCCAGCCTTTTCCAGAAACCAAATTGTGCATATCATCAAGAAGTAGATTTCTAGCTATGAAATTGGATAATACAGTGGAAACATCAGAAGAGCATAGTGGCCGGGTGTGGTGGCTCGCGCCTGTAATCCCAGCACTTTGAGAGGCTGAGGTGGGCAGATTGCTTGAGCTCAGGAGTTCAAGACCATCCTGGGCAACATGATGAAACCCCATCTCTACTAAAATACAAAAAAATAGCCAGGTGTGGTAGTGGGCACCTGTAGTCCCAGCTACTTGGGAGGCTGAGGTTTGAGAATTGCTTGAGCCCCAGTGGCAGAGGTTGCGGTGAGCTGAGATTGCACCATTGCACTCCAGCATGGGCTACAGAATGAGACTCCATCTCAAAAAAAAAAAAAATAGAAGATAATGGAAGCATAAGTAGTCTTGGACCAGGAAGACCTGGTGAGCCGTACTGAAGACAACAGAGAGTGACTGGGGGATTTGTCTAGCCTGAAAACCTGTGTCTTTTAATTGTATTAATGTTTAGTCCATTTATGTTTAATGTAAATCCTCATGCTGATATATATTTGGGTTTTCGTATCAGTTTATGGAAATTCTCAGCTGTTTTCTCTTTAGATCTTCCCCTGCCCATTCTCTCCCTCCTCTTTTTCTGGGACTCCAGTGACAGAAGTTATGATGCTTTTCCACCTTATCCACATGTCTCTTACATGCTACTCTGTATTTTTTATTCTTTTCTTCTCTGTGGTTCAGCACGGATATTTTCCTTTGAGGTACCTTCCAGCCACTCTCTCTTCAGCCATACTTTGTCAGGTACCCAACCCATCTCTTGAGTTGTTTATGTCAGTTATTGTGTTTTCAGTTCTAGGATGTCCATTTGAGTCCTTGTAGTTTTCCAGTTATCTGCTGAAATTCTTCATCTTATCTAGTGTCTGGAACATACTAATCATAATTAGTATAAAGGCCATGTCTGACTATTCTGTTCTCTGATATCTGTCGGCATGTTTCTGTTGTTGGTTTTTCTCTTTATTTTCAGTTAATTCTCTTCTATTTGCATGTCTGGTTATTTTTATTGGATGATGACCACTAAGCGTGAAAAACCATAGAGCCAATTCAAGACTTCCAATGATACAATCTTCTTTCAGAGAGGATTTATTTTACTTCTAGCGGGAATTGCGGAGAGTGGTAGATTCACTCCACCCATGTTGGAATTTAGCTGATTCTGAATTAGATCTTTGTGGGAAGTGACATTTTTCCTAGCATGAAGGCACCCACCAAAAAGCTTGGAGTGTTTGCCAGCCTCTCCTTGGCAGCTGACTGTCAGACCTCTGTTCACCTCTCAGCCTCTCAGCAGATGCCTCAAGTTACGCAACCAAATGAACCTATCTGGAAGACTGAAGTTTTTACATGCATCACTGAAATAGGAACTCAAAAGTAGCTCAAGATTTCTGCTTTGGATCTGCTGATTTTGAGTTACATCATTAATTTGAGTGGCTGCATACTCTAGGCTGCCATACACATGGATGGGACAGGCAGGCAGGATGTGATGAGGTTAAAAAGATTAATAGACAAGCAGATGGCGGCGGGGTGCCCAGGAGGCACCCGTGCCTAAGAGGACGGCAGCAGAGGGTGGTGATTCCAATGTGCTGCCTTTTAGAGGGGCTCCCTGTGGGCTGTGGCTGTTTGAGGGGGAGCTTCTCACTGGCTCCGTGAAGCCAAGAGCACTGACCCCACCCCCACCTGCTTTCCTCAGGTCCACGCGGTGTGTCCTGCAGGGGCATGACCTGCTTCTGCGCTCGGCCCTCCGGAGGCTGGCACTCCGCGGCAGTGCCCTGGCCACCCTGACACAGATGCGGCTCTCGGGGAAGAAGCGCCTCCTGCAGGAGCTACGGGAGCAGCGTGTGCTGGAGCAGGGGTCCTCCCAGTGCCTGGACGAGCATCAGTGGCAGCTACTCAGGGCCCTGGTAGGACCACCCATTTCAGACAGGTGCTGCCCCTGCAGCAGCCCCCAGCTTCCAGCAGGTTTGCCAGAACCCAACTCCTACCACCCCCAGTACTGCAGGGTAGGGTATTCATTCGCTGAGGCTGCCGTAGCGAGGTTCCACAGACCGTGCGGCTTACACAGCACGCATTCCCTGCTTGCCATCCTGGAGGCCCGAGTTCTGAGACAGGGTGTGGGCTGCTTTGATTCTGAGACCCCTCTCCTTGGCTTGTACATGGCCGTCTTCAACCTGTGTCCTCCAGGTCCTTCCTCTGTGGGTGTCCAATCTCTTCTTATAAGGACACCAGGCATTCTGAATCAGGGCCCATGACCTCTTGACCTTAATCACCCCCTCAAAGGCCACCCCTCCTCTTACCAACCTCCCGTGCTGAGGTACCTGGGCTCAGGGCTTCAACAGACCATTTTTGAAGGGACACAATTTAGCCCATAACAAGTGGAGACAATGGAGGCCCCACAGGGGCCAACCATGTGCCAAAACGTTCTAGTGTCACTAATATAATGAGAATTATACTGGAAAAAACATATATGGAATCAGAGGGAGACAGGTGCAGTTGTCTTTGGGGACATGGGAGAGAAGGCCTCTGTGATCTCTTTGAAGTGTGATAGCAGATGAAAGAAAGAATCAGTAAGTTGCAGAGCCGGGATTTACACCCAGGTAGGCTGACTGCAGGCCTCCTGCATGAAGCCACCAAGCTCTGGGAGCAGCTGCTGCTGTTTGACCTACAAATGAGGCCCAAGTCTGCAGTCCCTTTACCTCTATCCAGGAGAGCTCTGAGGGGCAGGCAGGACTCACTGACCTCGCTCCAGCCCCGCTCACTTCTTTCTCTCGTTTCTACAAATTACGGCAGCCCTGGGGGCCCTGTGTGCCCTGCCTCCGCTTCTGTGATGTCCTAAGAGACTCAGCTCTGGCTTCAAAACCTGGCTCTGCTGTGTGACTTTAGAAAGTTACTTAACTTCTCCAAGCCCTTGTGTCTTCCTCAGTGCTAGTGTTCAGGTCTCAGGATGTTCTAGAAGGGTGAGCAAGGCCCCCCCACCATCTTGTGAGGGGCCATAGATGGTACCGGGCACATAGTTGGTGCTCAGTAAATGCCCTTTTTCTGGGGAGTGGAATCTTCGACAGACACCTAACTTCATCCATTGACTTTGGCAAGCCTAGAGAGGCCACCTCTTTCTGCCCTTTCTCCATCTCTTTTCCAACCTCTGGGCCATGGATAGGACCAACCCCATATCCCAGTCCTGGCCAGAGCCTCTCTGCGAATGGAGCACTGGGCCCTCTCTCCCAGTCCTTTCCCTCCCAGGAGGCGCGTGTGCTGGAGGAGGCCAGCCGGCTGGACGAGGAGGCTCAGCAGACACGGCTGCAGCTCCAGCAGCGGCTCCTGGCCGAGGCCCAGGAGGTGGGGCAGCTTCTACAGCAGCGTGTGGAGTGTGCCATCGGGCAGGCGCTGCTTGTGCACGCACGGAATGCAGCCACCAAGAGCCGGGCCAAGGACAGGGATGACTTCAAGGTACGTACTGACCCCTGTCCCTGGGACCACCAAGGGCAAGAAGGATCCGGGTAGGGCCCATGCCTGGGTCTGCTCCTTGCCACACCCTTCATGGAGCTTGTGGCCTTGTCGACTTTACCTGACTTGTCTGAGCCTTGTTTTTCTCACTGTAAGATGGGTCTTCTCCCTCACAGAATGGGGACGATCAGCTGCAACAGATCACAGGTTCTCCTGCTGTAGGCCCTGTGCTGCATCATCCTGAGAACTGGCTCTGTCCTTACAGCAGCCGAGTGCGATGTGGTGGCACCAAAGCCACACAGTCAGTCAGTGGCAGAACCAGGATCTGAACCAAAGTCGTCAGTCTCCCAGAAAGAGAGAGACATGTGCTTTCCCTGCCCCTGGCTCTCTCTGCTGAGACACTGGAGTTTTCTGGAATTCATCCCGATGGCTGAACGATGCCACTAAAAATCAATTTGGCTTAAGTAGACTTGTTTAACTTCTTATATTGACAAGAATCAAAAACAATAGTAATTAAAATGGTAACAGTAAGAAGTCACATTAGCACTGCACTTAAGTCTAAGTGCTTTTTCCTATCTTGTCTTGTTGGATTCTGCCCACAACCTTGCACTGTCAGGATCACTTTTCTTCCCACTGGGGACAAAAGAGGCCTATGACTGGGCAAAGAATACATTTCCAGCCTCCAGCCTAGTGAGGGGCCACCCCAGGGCTGCCGGAGCCTGAGCAGCACACACACTGCGTCTGCCTGGTGCCCCCCTTATGAGCTGTAAGGAGAGGTGGGGCACCCCTTACAGCGCCTCGCTCACTGCAGACCACTGCAGAAAGGGTGTCTGTGGCTGGCAGACACCAGCAGGTGACAGCCCTGTGCCCGGCAGGCAGCCCTGGTATCAGGAAGTGCAGGAGCACTTCCAGGTGCCTTCCAAGGGGTTCCTTTCATCTTGGTAAAACAAGTCACTTTGTGTGTCTGTGCAGCAAAGAGGTTGGACCCACATTTCTGCAACACCCTGTCTTATTCTAAGTATCTCACATCTGCCTCAGATTATCCAAACATTAGGGCTGTGCCTCGCTGGTGATATTGGGAATGTCACCCCATCCCTAAAATTGTCCACGTGTTACCTAATAGTAAATGCTCACTGCATGGAAATGGAGTAAGATATGAGTGTCGTATCATATTTTGTCCTCAGCTTTCCAGAAGGATTTTGAGTCAAGATTGAAAATGAGTACCCCCACAACTTCACACTTACAAAAAAGAACACTGAGCTTAGTTTCTAGAAGGATGGTCATTTATTCAACCTCTCTTCAGGGGCTTCCTGGAACACTAGCACAAATGTGTGTGCTGATGGGTACAGGAGACTGGGCAGAAAATAACTGAGAGGAGGAGAGACGGGGTGGCCAGGGATGGAGGCCTGGGGAAGGGAGGAGGGGTAGGTGCAGAGCCGGGTGCTCGCTGCTCTACTGTGGCAGGAGCTCACAGGGTGTGAAGATGTGGGTGGGTTTGCTGACCTTCAGGGAAAGAGGATGAGAGCTCCTGATAGGAAGGGCAAGGCTGAAGCCCACGTCTTTGGAGGGATGGAGTGGGAGCCCCTTTGCAGATGGGGCAGAGGAGAGGGAAAGAAGCATTGGCAGTAAGGGATGAGCAGGGGCTTGGGAGTTAGAAGCCCAGCTCAGACCTGCGCTGCCACACAGGCTGTGCAGTCTCCTCACCTGTGCAGCCTCCACTCCACCTCAGTGCCCAGGTACCTTTCTCAGATGCGGCAGTGAGAGTAAGTGGGTTTTTTTCTTACCCAAAGCATAGGACCATCCAATAAATACTTGGTACAATGGGGTTGAACTTTTCTGGCTTTTGCCCACCTTCTTTTTTTTGAGACAGAGTCTTGCTCTCTCACCCAGGCTAGAGTGCAGTGGCTCGATCTCAGCTCACTGCAACCTCTGCCTCCCAGGTTCAACTGATTCTCCTGCCTCAGCCTCCTGAGTAGCTGGGATTATAGGCATGCACCACCATACTCAGCCAACTTTTTATTTTTAGTAGAGACAGAGTTTCACCATGTTGGTCAGGCTGGTCTCGAACTCCTGACCTCGTGATCATCTCACCTTGGTCTCCCAAAGTGCTGGGATTACAGGCTTGAGCCACCACGCCAGGTTCTGCCCATCCTCTTATGAAGAAAAGGATGATAACTTTCTCAGTGCACAGCCAACACATCCCCAATGATGGGATGTCTCAGCACCTCCTGTCTTTTCTGCTTTGGTCTCAGAAAGCATCATGCAGAAATGTAGCTACAAGTAGCATGACTCAAAACAAATAGCAGTTACTCACCCCCCTACCCCAAGAAATGTGGAGGCGTGTGACCCCAGGCTGCCACAGTGGCTTTGTGATGTGACCAAGGACGAGGCTCTTTCTTTCTGACCCTGCATTCTTACTGTTAATTTATTGCTTCATAGTCTTAAACTGGCCACTGTCACTCCAAAACATCAGGCCTGCATTCCAGGCAGGAAGAGGGAGCAACAGTCTTTCACCTGCTCAGCTTCCACCTTAATGTTTAGAAAGGGAAGGCCTCAGCCATGCACAGTGGCTCACGCCTGTAATCCCAGCACTTTGGGAGGCCGAGGTGGGCAGATCACCTGAGGTCAGGAGTTTGAGACCTGCCTGGCCAACATGGCAAAACCCCCATCTCTACAAAAAATACAAAGAATCAGCCAGGCCTGGAGGTATGTGCCTGTAATCCCAGCTACTCAGGAGGCTGAGGCAGGAGAATCACTTGAACCTGGGAGGTGGAGGTTGCATGAGCTGAGATTGCACCACTGCACTCCAGCCTGGGTAACAGTGAGACTCCATCTCAAAAAAAAAAAAGGAAGGCCTCTTAGCAGACTTTCCCTAACATCACATTTCCTTGTCCCGAACTGGATGAAACAGCCAGGCCTAGACATCCCTAGCCTAGGAAGATAGGATTACCATGACTAGTTTAAACCAGCCATGCACTCACTGGCTGCTTCCTGACCAATCCAGGTTGGTGAGTAGGTGGAAGATTGGAACCAGGGCACAGGGAGGCAGGGACCGGATGGGCTGTGGGTGGCTCCCACGTGTGACTTCTCTGCTGGCCCCGTCCTTCCTTTCTCCCCTCAGAGGACGCTGATGGAGGCAGCAGTGGAGAGCGTCTATGTGACCAGCGCTGGTGTCAGCCGCCTAGTGCAGGCGTATTACCAGCAAATCGGGAGCATCATGGAGGACCACGAGGAGAGCAGACTGCAGCACCTGAAGACACTGCAGGGTACGGGACCCCTCGGGGAAGACACAGAAGAGGCTGGCAACGTGTGCTTTTAGTTTGGGGCAGAATGGGATGTCAGATGTTGTGAATTTTATTTTGGGGCATTTAATTATTTCAGTGTTTTAATGTATTTATTTATCCCTCCTTTGTCTCAAAAGCCTTTTTCAAAAGGCTCTTAAAGAAACATAAGCATAAAGACACATCCATTACAGTGCGAGTGTTTTAAGTCGATCACCCAGGATGAGGATAGGACCCTGAGATGGAGTCAGGGCGAGGCTCATCTAGGACAGCAGTCCCCATTACATTTACTGTGCACTTTATTTCTATTATTATTCCATTGTAATATACAATGAAATAATTATGCAACTCACCATCATGTAGAATCAGTGGGAGCCCTGAGCTTGTTTTCCTGCAACTAGGCAGTCCCATCTGGGGGTGATGGGAGACAGTGACAGATCATCAGGCATTAGATTCTCATAAGGGGCACTCACCCTAGATCCTTCACATGTGCAGTTTGCAGTAGGGTTCACGCTCCTATGAGACTCTAATGCTGCGGCTGATGTGACAGGAGGCAGAGCTCAGGCAGTGATGCGCGTGGTGGGGAGCGGCTGTAAATACAGATGAAGCTCCGCTCACTCGCCTGCCACTCATGTCCTGCTGTGTGGCTGGGTTCCTGACAGCCAGGCACCAGTACCAGTCTGTGGTCCAGGGTTTGGGGACCCCTGATCTAGGACATCTGCCCACAAATCCTACTTGGACGTGAAATGTGATTTTGTCTGTGAGCTTCCTGGTGGTCAAAGAGATGGTGACCTACTTAGTTAAAGCCACCACAGTGACCATGAGCCCAGTGGCCCAGGGGGCGTTTGAGACCTTGAGAATTTTCTCCCTTGGGCCCTTGTAAAGGCCACCCTGGGGTGATGGAAAGGACAATCTCCCCAGTTCCAGTAACCTACAGATAATGACGGTTGGAAGCCAGTTTCGTAAATGCTCTTGTTATAACACCCTCCCCTGGATCCAGAGCTTCAGCCTCCCAAGTAGCTGGGATTACAGATGTGCGTCACCAGGCCTGCCTGATTTTTGTATTTTTAGTAGAGACAGGGTTTCACCATGTTGGCCCGGCTGGTTTCAAACCCCTGACCTCAGGTGATTCACCCATCTCGGCCTCCCAAACTGCTGGGATTACACACGTGAGCTACCTCACCCAGCCTCACTTTACTTTTAAAGCTTTTAAAAGTCAAGAGTTTCCTGAGCAGCTTAACCTGCAAACAAGGAGGAGCTCCAAGAAACGGGGCATGACTTCGGAGCCCAGACCTCCTAGCTCCTTGAAAACGCTCGCTTCCGCACTGCCCTGACTCTGCCTGGCCAATCGCTTTTCCTGTCAAGTGTGGCTTTTTGAGCTCTTTGTGGTGCCTGCTCAGGGTTGACTTTTTCTTATCCGACCTCCCTTTTCTCCTGATATGAGAAAGCTGGAGATGGAGCAGGTGGAGGGGTGCACCATAGATAGTTTCCTTCTGCAGCGCCTGGCCCACTATGGAAGCCGTGTCATTCACGCACACAGTGCCCTGTCCCTGTGCTAGTAGAACGGCACTCTTTGAGAGCTGGTGTGTCCTGCTCACCCTGCACCCCAGAACCTGCCCCAGACCTGGCACAGTCGATCCTCCAAACAGACCCCTTGATTGTCCTGTGTTAAATGATCTAGGCGAGAGGATGGAAAATTACAAGCTTCAGAAAAAGCAGGAGCTCAGCAGCCCTTCGTCTGGCGGCAGGACAGCAGGTGGCGCTCATGAGGCCTCCCACGCGGTCCACCAGAGGTGAGGCCCCAACTGAGGTCCCACGTGGGGGTGTTCTCTACCCCTTCACGTGGCGTGTCTCTCTGTGGCGCTGTCGGCGGGTGCCATCGCGTACATGGCCCATGGACTCGGGCACCATCAGCCTCCCTCACCCGGTGCCTCTGTCCTGGTCTCTGCCCTCCATGCAGCACCTGGAATGGCACCTGGCACAGATGAGTGAGCAGGTCAAAGTGTGGTGGTGGCTTCGTTCCCAGGTTTAAGTGGCATTCACAGCCCGGACATGTGCCTCCCCTCTCGTTCTTTGGGCATTCTCAGAAGCAGATCTTGATGAGGATTTGGGGGCAGGTTGTATACATGGGAGGTGACCTGCAGAAGCACAGTGAGAGGGCAAGGAGGTGAGGAAGAGGTGGCTGCTTCCTGGGACTGTGACCATCACAATAAGCACCATGTAGCAGCTCAGGCCATGCAGATGTCCTATCCCGAAGTGCTTGAGGTCCGCAGGCGGGCTTGGCTCTCTTGGCTTCTTCACTCCTCACAAGGCCTGAGTGAAGGGGTCAGCCGACCGGGCTGTTATTAGGAGGCCACTCGCTAATAGCTGTCAGGAAATGCCCTGCTGCAGGGTTGCACAGACTGAGCTTGCTCTGACTTTCCAGGCTCCCAGTAAACTAGGGTCCCGCAGTCCTCAGATGTGGGGCGCAGAAGCATCCCTCAGCTTTCCTGCTAAACTTGTAGGTTCTGGGAGCACAGCCGGAGACTTGGGCTCAGAAAGTGTGAGAGGAGCCCAAGAATCTGAATTTCAGCCACACCCCTCCCCACCAAGCATTCTGATAGATGTGGTCCAAGGGCTTCACTTTGACCCAGGCGATCCAAGGGAAGGAGCCCCAGGAGCTGCCTGGGCCAACGTGCTTTATGAAGGAGGAAAAGGAAGCGGAGTGGTGGAGGCCGGGATGCATGACCCCATCTGTGACTCACAGCTTATATGTGGCTGTTGACGCCCTTCCCTCCCTCCCCAATCTCCTCGAGTTCATAGAGGCAGTTTCTTTTTCTTTTTGAAAGAGCACAAGTATAATTTTATTACATAGCTATGCTGAATAAGGGTGAAGGCTGAGCTCTTAGTGTACCCATCACCCAAATAGTGTATGTTTTACCCATTAAGTAATTCTCATTGTCCACTCCCCTCCCATCGTCCCACTGCCCTTCTGAGTCTCTGTTGTCCATCCTTCCACTCTCTCTTTTTTTTCTTTTTTTCAATTTTTTTCTGAGACGGAGTCTCACTCTGTTGCCCAGGCTGGAGTGCAGTGGCATGATCCCAGCTCACCGCAACCTCTGCCTTCCAGGCTCAAGTGATTCTCCTGCCTCAGTCTCCTGAGCACATAGGATTACAGGCATGCACCGCCATGCCTGGCTAATTTTTTTGTATTTTTATAGAGGTAGCATTTCTTCATGTTGGCCAGGCTGGTCTCAAACTCCTGACCTCAGGTGTTTGTGATCTACACGCCTTAGCCGCCCAAAATGCTAGGATTACAGGCATAAGCCACTGCACCCAGCCTGTCATTCCACTTGCTGTGTCCATGTGCGCAGTTGTAAGTGAGAACATGAGGTCTTTCTGTTTCTGAGTTGTTTCACTTAAGAAAATGGCCTCCAGTTCCATCCACGTTGCTGCAAAGGGCATGATTTCATTCTTTTGAATGAAAAGGTGAGAGATACTTTAATGGATGAATGAGCGGATGGGGGGAGAAAGTGAGGGCTGGAGGGATGGATGATGGGGTCTTGTAGGATGCATAAGAATTTTCTGGACAAAGACAAAAAAGAGAGGAAAGGTGTTACTGGCAGACAGAAGAGCGGGAAGTAGAAGCAGGCTGCATTTCCGCGCCTCGGGGACGCCACATGCACAGCTGCCAACCATGCTGAAGGTGGCTCTGCCTTCAGGTCTAGAAATTTGACCCGGTCCAGAAAATCTGCCCTAAAAGATGGGAAGGAGGCGTGCGGGGGGCAATAATGGAAACAGGGTGGCTGAATCTGGATTCTGCTGTTTGCTGAGGAGCTGAGGGCACCCAGAGAGGGGGTGGGCCCTGCGGCTCTGTAACAGGGTTGCCTGCCATATTCGGGATTTCCCAGAGGCTGCATTCCAGGAAGCTTCTCGTTTTACAAGGGAGGGGCTGGGGCAGTTCTGAGATTTAAAATCAGGGATGGGAAGCTGGTAGATCTCCGGTCCTTTCAGGAGAATGCTTCTCCGCGGGAGTAAGATTGTTTTTCTCACGAGACGATGCCACCTTCTGCTCAGCCATGTCACAGATGTGTGCACTCAGGGAGGCCCCACGTCTCTGGGCTTCTTCCCCCGGCTTTTCTACGCTGTCCTGCTGGTGTTGTGAAGCTCCTCCAAAGATCACATGGAAAGTGTGTGGGCAGGACTCTGTAAGCTCCTGCGTTGTAAAGGGCGTCCACTTCGATGGAGAGGCAGCCTGCCTGTGGGGTCTGGGGCTGGGGCTGCCGTGAATGACGCCCCCAATGACCAGGCCCCTCTTGGGGTTCCCAGGGATCAATGACATCTAGCATCCACTACATGCCTCCATGCAGCAGCCCTTCAGAAAGGTTTGCACTGGGACCCTAGTCAGCCAGCAGCCCCAGTGGCACTGACTTCCTCCCTCCCTCCCTCCCATCCTCCCTCCCTCCCTTCCTCCCTCTTTCCTTCCTTCCTCCTTCGCTCCCTCCCTTCCTCCCTCACACCTGCTTTCCTGTCTTCTTTCTCTCCTTCCTCCCTCCCTCCCTTCTTGCCTCCCTGCCTGCCTCCCTCCCTCCCTCCCTGCCTGCCTTTCTCCCACCAGGATGCTGTCCCAGCAGAAGAGGTTCCTGGCCCAGTTCCCGGTGCACCAGCAGATGCGTCTGCACGCCCGGCAGCAGCAGGCAGGAGTCATGGACCTTCTGGAAGCCCGGCTGGAGACCCAGCTGCAGGTATGAGTTACAGAACTGGGCCTTCAAAAGGCTGTGGTTTAAAGAGGAGCAGAAATAGCGAAAGCCAGCCTGTGACCGTGGGTCAGCCATGGGACTGTTGTGAGGGGTACGCCCTGGTCCCTGCGCCTCCCCGCCTGTGGCATTGTTGACCCGCCGAGCCTCACCTGCTGAGGGTGCATTGGCCTCACCCTAGGACCCTGAATCCCTGGAGGGCAGGTGGCCTGTGTGGATCCCTCCAGCGGCTGTAGCACCCCAAGCAGGGCCAGGCCCTGAGCAGCTGGTCAGCCCTCATCTACGGACCTGACGGAGAACTGAGCACCCCCCTGCGGGTGCATGGCCACCAGGAGGCTGGTGGTACAATGGTGACTTCTGTAGTCACTCAGGCAGTGTTGGTGGGAGCTAAAGTTTACCCTTTATTTACAGCAAACAGGAAGCTCAGCTCTCATGATACAAAGTGCATATTTCATCACACACAGTCCCGTTTGTGTGACAGTATACAGTGGATATAAGGTGAGACTATAACTGTGGCTAAGCAAAGCGGCTGCCTTTAAAAAAATCAAATCTTCCAGAATGGAAGCGTTCAGCAGAGTGCTGGCCCCTTTGGTGTCCTCCACTGATGGTGGCAATTGCAGGGTGACAATGATGAGATACAGCAGTGCTGGCTGGTAGGCACTTACTGAGGCTCTGTGATAGACAGTCGTGAGCTGAGAGCTTTGCACGCACTTTCCAACAAAGGAGCTTACTGCTGCTGTCCCACGACAGGTGGACACATCAAGGCATGCACAGGTTAAGTTGCTATCCAGGGTCACACAGTTCATGCATCAGGGAATTCTGATGTGTCTGGTTATGCCACGGTGTTGGCAGTTAAGGGCCAGTCTGTGGAGTCGGGCAGAAGCGGGTCCCGTCCTATTCTGCTGCACCTGCTCCGGGCAGGTCACGGAGCCCCTCTGACCTCAGTGCACTCAGCCAACTGGAAACCCACGGCTGCTGTGAGTGAGGATACAGAGTTACGTGCAGGAGCTGGTAGATGTCAGCTCCTTCCCTCTCAGGTGCCTCCTCCTGCTCCTCTCCTCCCTGGGATGCATCTTAGAAAATTCTCCTCCACACCAGGACAGGGACGTGGTCCCTGGTGGCCAGCCTCAAGTGGCAGACTGCACTCACTTGGAGAGAGATGTAGAGAAGTCCGGAAGGCAGAGGGAGGCCCTGCTGAATGCTCCTCTCTGCTTGCATTTCAGGAAGCGGAACAGAGCTTCATCACTGAGCTGGCAGCCTTGGCCCGAGTGCCCCTCGCGGAAAGCAAACTGTTCCCCGCTAAGCATGGGCCGCTGGGTGAGTCACAGAGGCTTGTGCTGCAGCGGGAAGCACTCTGGGCTGAGAGATACGGGTTCTAGTTCCACACTGGCCGCTAACTAGCTGTGTGGCCTTAGGCATTGTGCCTAGCCTCTCTGGGCTTTTGTGACCTTGTCTGTAAATGAGCAGGCTTGGCTGGCCCACCCCACAGGCCCGCTTGCTCTCCAGCATTTAACAATTCCAGTTCCTGGGTCTGCTATGCACTGGCTGTGTCTCCTCACTGACTCCATTTTTCCATCTGTACAGTGGGGATAATAAGCCCTCCTCCCACCCCTGCCAGCGACAACTTCAGTGATATCACAGGATGTTTTAACCTGGTAATGGGAGAGTGACTCAGAAGGTGGTGTGAAAACACAGAGATCTATTAAGGCAAAAGCTGTCATACTGGTGCTGGGTTTTCAGTTGCTTGCAGCTTCATTAAGTCCTCCAGTCACTGGCTCCCAGTGGGAGCCGAGCAGCCCGGAGCTCAAGTCCCAGCTCTGCCACTTACAGGCAGTACAGGCTTGGGAGAGCACGTCGCCTTCCCGGGCCTCAGTTTCCTCATCAGTTGAGCAGCTGTAATAGCATAAGGTACCAAGCACACACTTGGCCCACACAGCATGCTCAAAAATGTCAGGCTGGGTGGGCGTGAGGCTGCAAGAAGTTGTCACTTGTCTGAAGTCACAGAGCCATGTGTGGATTCATCTGTCCTCTACAGAGAAGCCCCTAAGGACTAAAAGGAAGAAACCCCCACCCCGGGAAAGAGAGGACCTGGGGGTTCCCAATGACGAGGACCTTGCCGCCGGGGCCCACACCTCAGGCTCACTTAGGTATGACTGGGCCCCAGACCTATTGCCTGTGGCTGGGTTTGGTAAGTGCACTCAGCTGCTGGATGCCAAAGGTCTGGGCAGGAGAATCTATCCCCTCATAGGCATTAAATGTGAAGGTTCCAGAAATGACAGATATGAACGCAATTTGTGGGCAGTAAGCCATGACGATACCAGGGGTGCCGCATGGCTGTTACCCTGCCTGTTTGTGTCTCATTAGGCCAGGTGAGCCTTGGCCTATCCCCACACCCCATCAACATTCAGCCTGAAGTGTTGGGCAGTCCCCTCTTTGACCAGGGCTGGCTGTGGTCATGGCACTTGGATGACTTCCTACCCAAGAGAGGGAAACAGGGATTTTATTTGCTTCTTGGCAGCCCATGTCAAAGTGAAAATTGTTTTGATCACCTTTAGCTGCATTTTCATTTATTCTGATTGGGTAAATTATGGCATCAGGATGGGCGTGGAGTCTGCATACTAACTGGCTGCTTTTCTCCCCTGTTTTAAGCAGCAAAAGGCTGAGTCCACAAGAAAGTGAAGCTGGGGACAGAGAGAACTCAAAGAAGATGCTCAAGAGAAGAGGCAACTTATAATTTAAGACCAGTCAGAGGGACGGGACCTGAAGCCCTGGGTCTGGGTGTGAACTCTGCCTTCCTTCCCACAGCACTGAGAAGCAATGAGGAGGGGGAGGGCAGCAGTGTCTCTGCTTCAGAGGCTCTTCTGAGATGGATGGAGAAAGAATAGAAACGTACCCTAAAAAGCACAAATGGGCGCTATCACCTGAGAAAATTAGGCATTCCCCTGTTGGAAACGTGTCTCTGTGAGTTTACATTTCATTTGGCTTGGAGCCCTGGCTTGACACCTCATGGATCTCTCCCCAGGGGGGACTTCATGAGGGGTCCAAGCCTCAGGCCAAGAACCCACGATGCAGACCCTGGAATCCCCAGCCCAAAGGCCTGTCCTGGCCCACCTGGGGCTGAGGATGTACAGATACATAATGACACCTGCAGAAATTTATTTTCTGAGGTCACTTAGAATATGAGGAAGAGGGCATGGCCCCAGCCTTCACTTCACCTGGGGAGGGCTTCTTCCAGACAGCAGACCCCTTGCCCCTGCAAAGAGAGGTCATGGGGCACCTGCTCTCCAGATGGATAGTGAGAGCATCCAGAAGCTTCCAGACCAGCCCCTTGTCCACCACAACCAGGAGAGGCCTTTCCTGCCTGGAGAGAAGCTTCCAGACCAGCCCCTCTCACCACAGCCAGGGAGGCCTTTCCCAGCTGGAGAGAAGCTTCCAGACCAGCCCCTCACACCACAGCCAGGGGAGGCCTTTCCCACCTGGAGGGAAAATGGCTCCTTTCATTGAGGTTCAGGACTGTCACCCTGAGCACTGTGAACATTTTGGGCAAGGTCATTCGTTAGGGGAAGGAGTTGCCCAGTGCACCACAGGATGTTCCAGTGTCCCTGGCCTCCGCCCATCAGATGCCAGCACCTCCACCAGTCATGGCAACCAAGAATGTCTCCAGACACTGTCCTGTGTCCCCGGGGTATCACCCCCTGTGCTGAGTCAAAGAGTGCCTGCCCTGGGCAAATCCAGGACAGCCATGGGTGTGTCCACAAATCCCCAGAACCTAGTGAGCCCTTTGGCTCTGGGAGCCCCTATCTCAGGGATTTTCTGGGCCATTTGTGACTTTTCATTTCTTAAAACCTGAAATAGACCCTCAGTCAGGTATGAGTGACTCCTTCCCGGAAGTGGCCAAAACTTCTCAGCCTGTGAGATCTCCAAAGTTAACCGACAGCTCCCTCTTGTGGATCACTAAGATATTTCATTATTCCATGGAGTTGTGCAAAGCTGTGGCTTCCTTGGTACGATATTCTCAAAATCTACTTTGCATAGAAATCACCTCTTTTTTTTGAGATAGAGTCTTGCTCTGTCACCCAGGCTGGAGTTCAGTGGTGTGATCTTGGCTCACTGAAACCTTCGCCTCCCAGGTTCAAGCAATTCTCCTGCCTCAGCTTCCCAAGTAGCTGGGACTACAGGAATGTGCCATCATGCCCAGCTAGTGTGTTAGTGTGTGTGTGTGTTGTGTGTGTGTGTGTGTGTGTGTGTGTGTGTGTGTGTGTGTGTTAGCAGAGACAGGGTTTCACCATATTGGCCAGGCTGCTCTGGAACTCTTGGCCTCATGATCCGCCCACCTCAGACTCCCAAAGTGCTGAGATTACAGGCGTGAGCCACTGTGCCCCACCAGAAATCACTTTTATATTGTCTCATGGCATTGTCCCCAGTGGCTCCCTGCTGGGGAAGCCTGATTTTGTGACATGTGTATGGTAAATAAGGCCCTCCGGCAGCACCATAATTGGTCAGTTATCCTGAGCCCGGAGCTCGGCAAGCATCCATGGAATGATCACAGGACCCCTCTCCTCTAAGAAGGCTCGCAGCTGCCTCCCTGCTGCCAAGCTTGCAGCCTGACTCCCTGGCTGTTGCATGGAGCATTTTGCTTCTGGGGTGGCTTCCTTAGCCCAAGGGAATGTGTAATTTGGTGTTTGACCCTGCCCCTACCCCTGCCGCCCAGCTGTTGTGCTGGGCACAGGCCTCCATGATGAAGATGCATAGGCTGTGGGTGCGTTCATCTGTCACAAACCAGCACTTGTACCTGCTGGTGGGAGCATGATGGGGACTTCCATGCTGGAATTGCTCCCTGATTAAAATGAGATATGGCTATCTGGAAGACATTGCATGCTAGCCACCGCCCCTGGGCACAAGCTGGGGCCCACCCTGGAGCTGATGAGGGCTTGAAGGACGGAAGGGCTGAGCCACACGAAGGTGACCCTGAGGGCCAGGCAAGAGAGAAGAGGATCAGCAATGTGGCCCCAGGATGCCTCTCAGCTTCCCTGCCTCCACATTAGTTACCATCCCTAGTTCTTATTATGGGCTGTGGGCTGCTATAGTGATGGATGGACGTGGATTTGGAAGGGGACCACGAGAGATGGTGTATCATGATGTATTTGTGAATTAATTCTTGGGTGAAAATAGGATCCTCTGACCTGTGCTTGAGACCCCAGGATGAAGCCATCATGGTTTCTGGTACTCTCTCAGGGTCAGTGCACTCTGCCAGGATCCCCCCCACCAGCCAGGGGGGCACGTTCTGCAGAGCATTCCTTCTGAAGCCGTGGCCAGGACGGTGCTGATCTTGCTCTTGCCACAGAAGCCTCTCCTGCTGTTGCCAGGTTTCTGGGTGCAGGGGAATGCTCAGCTGGCTCTCCGGTGGGCTGTTCTTGGTCCCTCACTCACTCAAGAAAGGGAGAGGGGACCATGCCAGGCGTGGTGGGCTAGCAAGTAAAAATCGGACCCCAAAGAGTTTTTGCAGAAACTGATTTATTTAGGCAGAGAAAGAGAAAAAGGAGAGAGAAAAAGATGAGAGAGAGATTCCACGAAGATTATGGAAGGGGACCCAAGTATGGAATCCGAAGGGGTGTGGATGAAGGGGACTTTTAACCTGGGAGGAACTCCCTCCTCCAAGCCCTTTGACCTATGAAAGGAGTTCCTTTAAGCTTCCGCTGGAGTGACTGACTTTGATTATTTTCCCGTGCCAGTGAAAATGTGAAAAAAGACCCTTAAGACCCCGGATGGAGGTGGGGGAGCATGGTGCTGGGAAGCTCTTGCCCTTGAAACTACGTGCCCTTGTGGACCGGGGAAGAGAATGCATTCCTTCACTGCCCCTGCCATCTACTCATCACATGTTCTCCAACACAAATCTGTCTGGGGGTGGCGTTCCCTGGCTCTTGGGAGGAAAAGCTGGATCTTTGCCATGGACCATGAGGCCCAGTGAGGTCTGGGCTGAGCCCACCCCTGCAGCCCAGCAGACGCCCTTCCCCTTCAGTCTGTACCCGGCCCCTGTCTCCTGTCATGGCCTCACATGGGCCACCCCCCTGCCCCCACTGGGCCTTTGAGTATGATGTGCATTCTGTCTGGAAGACCCCTGTCCCCTCCCCAGTCCTCTGTCCAGGGGCTCCTAGCCACTCCTCATATGGACTCAGGACTGACATCTCCAGAGAACCCCCTCTTTCCCCAACCCTGAACAAGATCAGGGTCCCCCTTAGACTGTAGGTCCTGTGTTCTTTGCTGCTGGGACTGTGATAGGGGAGGATGACCTTCCTCTATTTCTTGCCCAAGTTCAGAACTATGTGACCTACATAGACAATCCCACTAAAACCCAACTCAGCTGGCCCTTAACCAGATCCCAAAAATGTCCCAGGTCTCCCTAGTGTCACCCAATATGCAGTGGCATCAGTGGGAAAGGGAACAGTGGTCTTACAGATTGCAGCTGAAAGATCTGACTGATGTAAGCTGTAAGGAATGCTTCTGTGGACCGTGGCTAAGCCCACTCCTGAACCCTGGTGGGGTCCGTGCACAGGTGTCAGAAGTGTGAGCTCCATTAGCTTTACAGTGAATCAGCTGTGGGCACAGCAGGCAAGCTTCTCCTCCACCCTGTGAAGGCTCTCTGAGAAAGAACTGGCTGATAAAAGGCAGAGCAATAGGAAAAAAAGGCATTCCCATGTAATGTGCACGGCACAGGGAATGGCAGGAGAGTGATGACCCAGCAAACCAGTGAGGTCCAGGTGCTTCCACACCCTTCCTCATAGGGAGACGGGTAACGGGGGAGATGTGGCCATTTAGAGGGTAAAGCATGATTTATAGGGAGGATGAATCAATCCAAAGGCAGACACTGTCTTGGGAGTCATCCTTCCCAGACTGGCCAATCAGGTATTTCTCGTCCTCCCCAGAGAAGAATAAAAGAGAGAGAGGAGGAGAGGAGCAAGGGGAGTCCCCTAAGCTTCCCCACAGAGAGTGGAAGCCCCTCCCTCTTCGGAGATGGGAGGAGTGGGAGATGGGATTCTCTATTCTCCTCTAAATATTCCCTCTATGGCCCTTAACAGAGTGCAATTCAGTGCTTTGGGTAATAATCATTTGATTTGTACCCGATGTCCCCCTGGAACATACACTGTGGACCAGCCACATGCTGCCTGGCATGTAATAGGCATTCGTGGTTACCTGGTAGAAGGGAGGAAGGGATGGAGGGAGGCTGGGGATAGACTTTCCTCTCATGTTTTATGGATTGGAAGGGAGGGAGGGAGGGAGGGAGGGAGGGAGGGAGGGAGGGAGGGAGGCTGGGAATACTATTTTCCTCCCATGGCATATGGATTTGGCTGTGTGTCAGCATTACCCAGGGGCTCATTAAAAACATTCTTAGCCCCATCCCAGAGACTCTGAGTCAGCAGAATGGACGGGCACCCTGGGGATCTATTTTTCCCCCACGGGGCTCCCACTGATGGGCTTGGTCCACTTCCTGATGCACCTCCTGCCCACCCGCATGGCCGCAATCCAGCCGCCGGACTTCATCTGAGGTCAGCTCTTCATCCGCCTCGTTCTGGCGGTGGTTGACATGAACATGCACCTCTTGAGTCCCCAATGGCAAGGAGCAAAAATGACTAACGTCCCCAGCTGCCGGACTCGGAAATCCTTCCCTGTGTGAGTGTGGAGGCCACGCTGCCGGCAGGGTGCTCCCAGTGTCTGGATGAGGCAGGGATGTAGAGGCTGCCTGAGCCCACAAGATGGGGCTTGTCTGGAGGACAATCTGGGCTCCAGGACTTCCTGCTCTCCCTGCTGAGACTTACATCTGTGCAGCACCAGAGTCTTCTCTCCCTTCCGTCCCTTCTTCCCTCTCTTCCCTTTCTTTTTCTTCTGCCTCCCTTCCTTCCCTCATCCATCCTTCTTTCCTACCCCACTTCTTCCCCCCTCCACTTCTTTCCCTCTCCCTCCCTCCCTCCTTTCTTCCCTCTCTTCCCTTTCTTTTTCTTCTGCCTCCCTTCCTTCCCTCATCCATCCTTCTTTCCTACCCCACTTCTTCCCCCCTCCACTTCTTTCCCTCTCCCTCCCTCCCTCCTTTCTTCCCTCTCTTCCCTTTCTTCCTCCTCTCCCTCCCTTCCTTCCTTCCCCTTCCATCCTTTCCGCCTCCCTCCCTTTCCTCTCTCTCCTTCCTCTCTCCCTCCAATCACAGGGCTCACAGCTGCAGCCCAGTCTGTGGGCCCTCTGCCTCCTCTGGCTTCCTGCTCATTTCCCCTCACAGGTATCTTCCCCAATACACATCTCGCCCACATCTAATCCCGGCTCGGAGTCTGCATCTCAGAGGACCTGGACTTGCTGTCTCAGGTTTAGTAACCCTTCGCCCTCCTGAGAACTCTGGGCCCAGGCAATCCTAGAGAACTGCCTCCTGTCCATGTTCTTTCTCTGGAAACCACTTGGTGGCCTCCCCCATTCTCTGAGCAGAAGCAGGGCAGGTCAGGAAAAGGAATCAATGGGTGAGGCTGAGGCCCCAGCCTAAAAATCACAGGAACACCTGGCCCAGGAGAAATCCCCTGCACTGGGCATTTGCCCACACATGGCTACAGGTGAACGCTGGGATGCGGAGTTCCTTTTCGCTCTGAAACTGGAGTCATGGAGATCCTGCTCGCCATTCTTCCTTCCAAATACAATGGCCTGGGTGAGGGAGGGTGGTGGTTACAGAGACTTCCTGTTCTGTGTCAGGTCTCCTGTCCACTGCAAGTGGACACCAGCTGGGATCCCAAACTACCCACGTGGTGTTTGACTCCTGTCTGATAGGGAAAGACTTTGAACACCACAGCCAGGCATAATGGATAGCCAGGCTGCCTGAGTGGTT